ATAAATTAATATTTTTAATATTACAGCAATTTAAAATCTTCTATTGACGGCGTTGCCCGAATTGTTGGACCAGGCAAACTTTCCGTGCGTTTCAATGGTATTGCTTGTAAGTAGCCAAATAGTATTTTGTAAAATTTCTAACCATTAGTATGAACTTTGTTTTTGAATTTTGTAAAAGTCTTCAAATTTGTTACATATTTAAAATTTCATGGTATGATAATTTAAATGTACTGTTTGTTTATCTTTGCAGCTCTTGCTGGAGACGCTGACTACTGGGTGTTAGGTACCGATTATAAGAATTATGCTGTCGTCTACAGCTGCAGCAATTTATTAATCGCACATTCGGGTAAGTAAAGATGATTAAACAACAATTTTTTATTAGCGAACAATATATTAGAAATCTTTAAATTATAGGTTATAATGGTAAAAATTAGGTTCAGTTAAATATATATATTAAAACTAAAAGAAAAATTCTTTGAGTTCACTCGCTGTTCGCTATTGCGGCATACCAACAGAATAATTAAGCAACATACATTTTTACGCTTACCTATAAAGTAGTATATTATTAATATATATATAACTAATATATAATAATATATAACATGTTTTTAGAATTTTTATATCCCGCACACTTTGTAGAAGTGCACTCAAAAGGTTTTCACTGTAAAGCATCAGCTTCAACACAGTCACGTGTGTTGCATTGATATTTCATAATTTTTGTTGTTATGTAACTATAAAATATGAAAATTATAATAAACCTACATCTATACGCTCGAAAACTGATTATTAATCAACATATAATATTAATCTATTATCAATTCTTCGTAAAATAACTAAAATTACAAAAATTAATTTTCGAAAACAATATCTGCATTTTTCAGTGGTTGTGTGGATCCTAACGCGCGAGGCCGAACCATCGGAGGATATTGTAAAGGAAGCTGAGAATATACTACTCCCAAAAATATCTTTGAAACCTTTGAAATTGACCTATCAAACTGGCTGCCCAGATATATGAAAAAGGACCGCAACAACTTATGGAATCATTAAACATAAGCTCGAAAGAAATGTAAATGTTGTATAATACAAATAAAACACTACAAATACCAGCATCAAAACACATCTCAATGAATTTATTTATTTAAAATTTGTTAAAAATGTGGCAAACTTAAATATCTCTGTTGTTTCTAGTTACTTTTTCGCATTCTTGCACCATACGTACAAAGATATGTTTTATGTATATAGCATATGTCTTGTTTAAATTATATTATTCAGCAATTTGTTACCACAAACAATTAAATAAAAGCAAACCAAGAATAAATGTTCGCAAGAATCCGTTTTACCATATTGTAGGTACCTGCACCAACAAAAGTGATGAGATATCTAACGGTTTAAGCTAAGCTTTATAATATGGTGTCAAGTTCATTAAAAAGCTAGAATAGCTCTCACAAATAAAAAGTTTTATACAAGAAATATATATTTGTTCGTCGATTTGTATGGCAGCCATATGTTATAGTAATCCGATCTGAAACCGATTTATTGATATTATTGCATTGCTTGAAAATATGTCAAGCAAATTTATGATGATACCTTATTAAATAAAAGTTGTCCACAAGAAAACTTGTTCTGATCGTGCAATTTATGGCGGTATATGTAGCTGGAGTCGGCGGTTCCATTAAAGTAGCAGATTTTGGGAAGAAAAATATTTTGTAAAATTTCCGATCTATAACTCAAAAGCTTGAGGATAGTTCGCGTATATAAAAGGGTCAGACGGACATCAGATGGACATCACTAAATCGACTCTGTCATCACCCTGCTATTTATTAATATATAAACTTAAAAGGGTTTCCGACATTTGATTCTGGATGTTACAATTCGACTTAGTCCAGACCATCTTAAATTTACCAAATAATCGAAAATCATTAGTTTGGTTTCTAGGTTTGTCTAGGATATTTTCCATTCTGATATTACACAATATTATACATCAGTTTTTATCAGACATAAATCTCTTGTTTCAAACTATTAAGTCTCCAGTACAGCATAAGGATACATTGGTATACTGATTTCGCCTCCATAGATTATATCATTTATGAAATATAATGGTGGATTAAATCATTTAACACAAAAATTTTCGTGAGATCTCATTAAGTGATCTTGTTTTTACAGCTTCATTTTTCGAGCGCGTTTCAACTCACAATACCTTCATTCCAATAACAACACTTGCTTCTTATAAAAAACATATCATATTATGTCATATATATACAATAGTAAACACGACACGAACGTCGGCGATCGTTCGAAGCAGAGAATTATAAAATTTCTAACAACTAAATTTATATCAAAAGAAAACAACATCTATATTCTATAATTACAACCTACAATTTTTAATTTTTTTACTTTCAGAACTACTTTGATCATGATTCGCGAACGCAAACCGCTGAAGCTGTCAGTGCAGCGAAGAAAATCATGGATCGATAATAATTTGGCACAATCATTCCTGCGATCGCGATCAGGAGAATTGTCCTCGATGTGGTTCAGCTATGGCACGACCATCAGTTTCGGCGATGACACACAACAATAACAAAACATGCAATCAAATTAACAGCCGATGCAATGCCATAGATGATAGTAATTTTGAAAAGGTTAGTTGGCAGCCTACAGCACCCAACCCGACTACAGCCAGTTTGAACTTTTGGACACAACAGCAGAGAGCGCAGCTAAGTCATTGAATTAGCATGAGAGTTGTTAGGCGATTGGCAACGCATTATGAATATATTGTGTGGTTTTTGCTTTGCGTGAATGAGCTTGAGCTTGAGCTTTACTAGATACTATTTACATACATACTGTTTACCATTCTAACATACAGTGTCTGTAGACGTCTGTTGGCTTGTCTGCTTTTAGCAAGTTTCACTTATATTGTGAAACTTTATGCGAGTATTATATAGTTGAGAGTTAAGTACAAATATGTTTGTCACTAATAAAAATTTGAAATTGTTTTTCGAAAAATTTTGAATGTTCTTGAAAATGTAACAAATCTTGGAATTATTGAACGAAATTGTGGTACAAAATATTTAAGCAGATATCATTAAATTCGTCTAACTGTAATAAAATCACCTAAAAGTATGCAAGAGCTAGTGAGTACTTAAATAGTAATACAAATAAAAGTGTTGCCTACCTACAGGTACTTTTTAAATTTTAGCAAAGTCTCACTTATAATTTAGTTTTCAAAAAAACAAAACGAGCAATAATTTACAGTTACACCGTTCTTGAGGAGTAAACTAAGTCTTAGCTCATATTTAACAAAGTCTTAATATATAATATAATGCCTTGTCAAAACCTTAAATATGAACTAAATTTATAAAGTCTTGTTCTCCAGCGCCCATGTTGTCACGTGGAACTGAAACTTGTGAAACATGTGATATTGCAAACTTATTGCGTTATAATGTTAACGAGAGCTAAACAATATTAACCTCAAACTTAGAAACTTGCCATGTGCGATTATAACAGCTGTTTAATGCCGTTTATGTAAATGAAACCATTCATCTGCGCAAATTGAACTTTCCTAATTGTCTAAAATAAATACATAGATGATATAGTAAGATTTTCAGACAAAGCTCCACCAACTGGTTAGGTATGAACGATACACTGTGATGAAAGTATTCAGGCAATCTTTGTAAAAGATGTGTGGTTACTGAACTTTAATCTGTTTTATAAACTAAAAAAGTTGAGATGAATCTATTCGTAACTGAGTTAAACAAATGGACTATTGATATTTTGAAAAAAACATGATTGCTCTTTGTGAGGAAATAGGAAACTCAATATTGCCGCACATATAACCACCAGTAAGAAAAATGTCCTCTTCTACAACGCCGATAAATAAAGTCAGAGATACTGAAATAAATGTGGAAAACGGTTGGCCTCAAGGGCCATCCCTGCAACTTCTAATTTCATACGCTAACGTTCAAATTTCGCTTTTTCACTGCTTTTGAGTCTTCGAAATTTTCGTTTTCATATCTAGCAAGCAAATCAACGATGCGGCAAACGATGTGTTTCTTCAAGGTTTAGAACTGATTGTTTTTGGTGTCGATCGGTCAAGTCGTTTGGAAAAATTCGAACTCAAATCTACTGGTCCGATTGGGTCCAAACTTATACGAAATTCAAGTGCAATGAAAACCTTGGAATGCCGTTTAGTTTATTCAAATCGGTGAGCGTTTAATAGTTATAAGAGGGTCACATACATCCACACACACACAGCACATTTCCACACATACATACAGACATACGGACATATCGTAGAAATGTTCGGGAGCTTCCTCGACCTCAAACGTCGAGATCTTTTGAGAACTCGATTTTTGCAAAATGGGTGCAATATCTTCCCGATTTTTAGAAAATTTTCAATTTTCTTAGCGGAAGTTAAAACAATACCTAATACATTTTAAATTGACATCAACTCAGGTTATCGATTATCAACAATCTGTCGACTTATTTCAGATTTTTCGAATTTCCGGAATATGGAAGCTATAGATGAAAAGATTAAGACTTATGTAACCATTCTGAGGTCCAGTCGAACGACAGCTACATAAATATCTGAGTAATTTACCAGCACTGTAACTTCATCTCAATAAATGAATGAAGACAAACTTTTGTCGTAACAAGTTCCTGACCGCTTGGCTCAAGACCCATCAACTGTTTCCGCACGCTTACATACTTTGCGTTTAGTCTTACACGCTTACACATGTGAGACTAGGTATGTCTCTGTTGAGCGTTGAGTTCACGCTATTCTCTATCGCGGCCACACAAAATGGATTTGTCCGCTTAATGGGAATCATTAATTAGTTTAGTTTTCCAATAACTTCTGAGGAGGGCAACGCTGTTGATAGGGTTGGTTTGTGGGAGCTCTGCTAGAGAAATCTATGGTTTTTCCGCAACTTAATTCAGTTGACCACAGGTTGGTACGATGCGAATGCTGATAATTTGAATGGACTTGGAGATGGAATTCAGCCATCAGGTATGTATATTCCTTGAGCCAGAAGCAGACGTGCGTAATGCAACTTTCAGTGGGATCAGTGCCAGAAATTAAAAGCTCAATTAATGTGCAACACAAGTAGTTCTGCGGCAGGCTATGGAAAACTGTGCTTGTTGTTAATTTCGTGTTTTGTTTCGTTAAGATTTTGTTTTGGGTTAATTTCCTTGTCATTTTCACGAAGAAATACTAAAACCATCAATCAGTGTTCAAAAGAAAGTCGAAAATATAATGGAAAATGCTAATAGAGACGTGTAGATCTCAAGCTCGTTACTTATTTACCGATAAATACAAAATAAGAAGTTTTTAATTTTGTCATTATGCAGCCGTAGGTTTAGAAAATATATGTTGCTTGAATTCAATGCGAATTTCCGGCTCCGTATACTCATGTAAAGCATTGGTATTCTGAAAGAGAATCAATTGTTCGACTGGTTAAAATAATACGTGCCTATAGTCTTTACGAGGCCCATGGGCAAGAATCACGGTGGGGAAACAATAGTTTTATGTAGAGTTTTGATAGGGTGAGTGTAGTTATAATATTCATATGCAGTCTAAACTTAGACCACCATGTATTGAAATTTGTAAAGGTCTCTATATGCTCACTGATCGCGTTTCGACTAAGAGAGCTACGCTGTTATGGTGCTGTTAAAGTTGGTTTCTGCGGTCATGTATGAGACTGGGACGGTACCTTGAGAGACCTTGAAAATATCAAACTATATATGTTATTCGCATATGCTCTAGACACTGATCCTCAGTCAGCGACCGAAATATATAATAAAACAATAAAGCTTCATCCACAGTAAGTATCATCGTCTAACGAACCGTCTGGGTATACTTGTATAATATATGTCAATTTCAAAACTTGAATTGATCTTCCCAATTCCTTGAAAAAGTTGGACGCAACGAGGAATAAAGGTTTCGGAAAGGAACTCTGATAAAGGTTCGTACTTAAATACATACCATATATATTCAGTAGCAAACATTTTTAGAAAACCAAAGCAAAACTGCTTATCAAAGAGTCTTCCGGTGTACTAACACATTCAAATTAAGAAAAGCAAAACAGCATTGAAATACCGTCTGCCTCTCCAGAGACCTTTTTCCAATCTTTACTTTCTTACCACTTCAAAGTGTGAAGTTTTCTTTTTAGCATGAAAACTTCTTGTTTGTCTGGTCGAATGTAGTCCCCGGGGACTGTGTGCCACTAGTTGAATTGTTTGGGAAGTTTCGATTTCAATTGCTCCCCTCTTTAAAAAGCATATACTGTATCTTGACTGTCTGGCAGCCGGCGTAGAGTGTGCTTGTGTGTGTGTGTAGACTGCTGTAAAGCTGACTTATAAGTACACTCGAAAGCGTGTATGTGTGTGTGTTTGCCCATTTGCAATTGCTGCTCGCACAGATGAAGTAGTTTTCCGGCACAACGCGGCACCGCCAAGTGGCTGTGGTCACATTTAAATGCACATTCCATGCTACCACTTTGCGTCCCCAGCTATCAACTTCCACTGAAGAAGCTCGCATATAATTCTGCTGTTGGTTTGCTGCTGTTGCTGGTGATTGCAACTACAATAGTAGCCAGTGGGTTGAAAAAGAGCAATACGAGTGGGCCGTGCAGGCGTTGGTATATGTGTGCTTTGTTGTTGTTATTTTGTACCACCCTTCGGTCGGTTTGATTTGGTTTCCGTTTGGTGGTCGTAAAAAGTCAATCACAATTCCCCATGCAATCACAACAAGAATTAATATTTAAAGAGGTCATCGATGTGCCGCAACGGTCGTTATAGTTGGCGTCAATACTTCGGTATACTTTGCCGGTGTTTTTGTTGTGCAAATATATTTTATTTAATTTTTGAAAGATAAGGAGAGGCTTCGATCTTTGAGTGGTTGCTTTTTTATTAAGAAATAATGAAGAACCAATAAAAATCAAGCCAAAGAAGTATATGTTATTAAGTTTGGTTGAGGAGAAGTGCCCACAATTTAGTCTTGCCAAAAATATTTTTTATGAAATTCTACACTAATTTATTTCACTTTTGTTTTATTATGACTATATACACAAATCAAGTGCTAAGTATGATTTCCATGCATTCTCATATTTAGACGGCACTTCGGTCGCATGAAGAGTAAATGCATTTATTATTACATTTTAGAATTTTGAATTATGGAAGTAGAAGTCGGTAATTTCAGGTTAAGTAAGACTCTTAAAAATATGTAATGTTTTATTGTCAGAAATTCTGTCGTCTTGAAATTAATTAAACAGTGGAAACCTGGGACTTTAAAAAGCTGTAATAAATACCTGGCAGCATATTTCATGGTAATCCATATTTTAGATTTCCCGATCAGTACAAAATATTTTTGTTTTTATGTAAGCTCATATAAAGTACAATGTGTTTCGTTAGCAAAAATATACCCTCGATCTTGGGTTTAAATCTTCTCAATTCTACGCACGATTTTTATAAAAGTCGTAGTGGATATTTTATAATACAGAGACAAACCTTGATAAAAAAAAATCTTTAATGCATGTGGCTGATAAAACATAGGTTTTCCTTCAGATAAGATATTTACATACAACTTCTTTATTAGCTCTAGTCGGTTACATATTTAATATCCATGCTGATCAAACCTTCCATATGAATATAAAGGCATATCAAGGAGGAATGGATGGTTATTTCTACTGTCATAACCACATTACAACCAACGAATACTGTGAATAGTTTCTCTCATGCCCACTCTTAGAGTTTGTTGAAGATCATGCGAATAACGCCTCTAGATAACTTTCTCTAGGGTTATGTTAAATTAAAGGCTTACGCCAATCAACCAGCAACGCTCGAGGAGCTTGAAGACACCATTCAGCGCCCTATAGCGGAAACTGCAGTGGGTCATCGATAATTGGCGTAAACGGGTGAAGATATGCAAGCGGAGCCGAAAGTTGGCCGACATTTTGTTCAAATCATAAATGGCAAAGACTTATATGCAACAAAAAAAATGAAAAAAACTCAACCTATTTTGACGAGGTTTGGGTATTAGTTTCATTTTACCTGTTACTTCTTAAAACAGCAATTTGCATTTCACTGTTTACCAAGTGAGGTAAATATAGTAAGAAAAAAAACAGTTCCTTAGACGTTTCTACTGTTTCGAAGCACTTTCGTTTCATTTTGCAATTCATACATTGTAGTTTTAGTATTTGCACAGCAGAAATTAAGATTTGATATTTATTAACTAACATGTTTAGTATTAATACACATTTGGCAGATTATGAAATTTTAAAATACTGTGTGAAAAACCAACATATGTTTTACTCTTTGATGATATACACGTTGGTTGTAAAGTGTCTGCGCTCACCAAGAAATATCACTACTAGCTCCAGTTTTTTTTCTCGAGTTGGTACATCTGTCGTGAGAACACAAGCAAAGTCATTCTGTCAATTATTTCTTTTTTTTACAAGCCATTTGAATTTGACATGTCAGAAGATTTTTTTTAATATGGCGCAGTGATTTGATCCTTTGTTTTGAAAGCAAGCACACCAAAATATTGTTAGTGAAGACCCAAATTTGACTAGTCGTGTATGGTATCAACTCTGAACATTATTGCAGCCTTTTGGATTAGCTGGATGAAAAATTCGTGAAAAAAGACCTAACCGAATAAAGAAGCTATTACAGCTCTAGACGGGTTTTTTGCAGAGCTTCCGGAAAGTCATTGACGGGTTTTTTGCAGAGCTTCCGGAAAGTCATTATGCGATTAACATATGATTTCACATCAATAAATTAATATTTTTAATATTACAGCAATTTAAGATCTTCTATTGACGGCGTTGCCCGAATTGTTGGACCAGGCAAACTTTCCGTGCGTTTCAATGGTATTGCTTGTAAGTAGCAAAATAGTATTTTGTAAAATTTCTAACCATTAGTATGAACTTTGTTTTTAAAATTTGTAAATTGAAAATTTTTGAGAGTTTTAATATTTAAAATTTTTTTAAAATTTTAAAACTGTTTAAAAATTTTTGAGACTTTTTAAATTTTCAAAATTTTTGAAATTTGTGAGAATTTTTAAAATTTGTTAAGTTTTTATAACTTAAAATTTTTAAAATTTTTGATATATCTAAAATTTTTCAAAAATGCGCAACACTTTTGAATTTTGTAAAAGTCGTGAAATTTGTTACATTTTTAAAATTTTTAAAATTTCAGTGTATGATAATTTAAATGTACTGTTTGTTTATCTTTGCAGCTCTTGCTGGAGACGCTGACTACTGGGTGTTAGGTACCGATTATGAAAATTATGCTGTCGTCTACAGCTGCAGCAATTTATTAGTCGCACATTCGGGTAAGTAAAGATGATTAAACAACAATTTTTTATTAGCGAACAATATATTAGAAATCTTTAAATTATAGGTTATAATGCTAAAAATTAGGTTCAGTTAAATTATATATTAAAACTAAAACAAAAAAAAATTTTGGAGTTCACTCGCTGTTCGCTATTGCGGCATACTAACAGAATAATTAAACAACTATACATTTTTTACGCTTACCTATAGTTAACTGCATTGCATGTGCCATTTTTGATATTTTATTTTTAATTATTTATTACGCAGAATTTGACGTAACATAAAAATTCTAAACAGAACTGCGGTTATTTTCAGACGCGTGACATAAATACAGCTAAATTTAATGTTATAAAAGTAATATTTATTAACATGTTCTTAGAATTTTTTGAAAATTCCCGCACACTTTGTAGCTGTAAGTGCATCTCAATGGGTTGTCTCTGCAAAGCATCGGCTTCAACACAGTCACGTGTGTTGCATTGATAATTCATGAATTGTTGTTGTTTTATGTAACTATAAAATTATGAAAGATATAATATACCTACATCTATACGCTCTCGAAAACTGATTAAAAATTACTAAAATTACAACAAAAAAAATTGATTTTTCGAAAACAAATATCTGCATTTTTCAGTTGTTGTGTGGATCCTAACGCGCGAGGCCGAACCATCAGAGGATATTATAAAAGAAGCTGAGAATATACTTACTTCACAAAGCATATCTTTGAGACCTTTGATTTTGACCGACCAAACAGGCTGCCCAGCTACATGAAAAAAGGCGGTCCGACAACTTATGGAATCATTGAAACTATAAGCTTTCCGAAAGAAATGTAAATATTGTATAATACAAATAAAACACTACAAATACCAGCATCAAAACACATCTCAGTGAATTTATTTATTTAAATATTTGTTAAAAAATGTGGCAAAGCTCAAAATATCTCTGGCAGAAATCCATTACAATTCCGATCTGAATTGGTATGAAGAGAAGTTACACATCATATTGTATTAAGTGGAGCTTGCTATATATAAAACTTAGCTTAGAAAGACCAAAAGGTCTTCTTGAAGAGGCATCTGCGAAAGCGTAGAGGGCTGTTATGAATCCGTTTAGCTTAGGCGTATTCACGCAGAGAGGCCTAGCCCATTGAGTTATCTGAGAGATGAGGCTATAAAATGGGTTGTAAGTAGTTAGGAGGCGCTACGATTACTCAGGGATGCTCAGTTTCCGCTAAACCTATCAACGGAAGTAGTACCGCTTGGAGAGCTTCAAGAAGGCCATACGGCCTTCTCAGAGCTTCTAGACGAGCGTCGTCGCACGTGAGCTATGAACTCTTTTAAGCTGTTTAAGTGAAGAAACTAGAAGGTGGAGTCTTCTGTCGGGAGCTCTTCATCAAATCTAGTGTCAGCAAAGTTCATCTCGCTGCAATTATAGGTGTTCTGACTAGACACTGTTCAATAGATTCACACGCGATGCAGTTAAATATTATTTTGTCTGACGATCTTTACCAAAGCTGTATGGAGGAAGGCGAGGTAGATTCATCTTGTCACTTTCTCGTTTATCACCCGCATTTTGCCAGCATGAGTTTAAAATATCTCGGTAGGCACATCTTTGGTGAACCTAGCAAAGTTGCTGGAATTGATTGGCTTAAACTCATACTTTATTTATGAGCCTAAGGCGTCAGAAACATTGCTTGGTTTTGGAGAGGAGGTGCACAATCGAATCAGAGACATACTATTGAAACTGTAAAATCTCTAGAGGTCAAATGGCTGAGAGAAAGTGCAGTGTGAAGAAACCAAGACTGCAAAAAGTGTAAGTGGTCATGTTAAATATAACAAAATTTAAAGACAAAAAAAAACAATAAAACATGAAAGTAAAAAACATAAAACAAACCAAAAAATCAACAACGCTTAGCTGCAACAATGTGGCTGAGAACATTGACAGCCGAGACACAATGAGAAGCACATATGCCTTACACATAAATATATAAATATGCAATAAAGAATAAAGTTTACCACATTGGGCAAAGTCAGTGACATTGTCTCGACTGTCGGTTGCCTGCCATATACTTGGTGTTCCAAAACGCCACGGCAAATCGGTTTCTTCGCAGGCCTCGCAATATTGACATTGGCTGACGACAACTTCAGTGTCATCGTCTGGCTGCGTTGGTGTTAAATGTCAAGTATGCGTTGGCGTTCGATCACACCTAGTTATATAAGTATATACAGCCACATATCCCTGTGGTGAACACCATACGTGGAGTTATTTCTAGTAAAGAACTAAAAATAGTCCCATTCAAAGTTTTTACTATGAAGTAGCATCTTTGTGTTTTAAAGCAGACAATGTAAGTTCTGTTCATATTAAATGAGAGAAGAGAAGAGAGGTCAAGCTATTTGAGGCTTAGTTCGTTGGCTTGCTTTATAGAGTATAAATCTCTGCAAGAAGCGTTACAAATCTTCCGATTATTCCTTTTACTTTGATTTCACTTCTCTAAACAAGGGCCTTTAGGGGTCATTCGTTTACCTTCCTATGAATACTTTTTAACATTCTGAATCAATTAATTTCGGATTTTATCTAAAAACCTTATATACTTTAATTTTTATAAAAAATTAAATTACTAAATAATACATAATGATGCGAATTTACTTTCACTTTTGCAATAACTATATTAATCGTTCTGCTTGCAAACATAAATATGTCATGTGACAATCACAGCCAACTAAGTCAGCAACTAAGCTAAACCATCTAAGCCACCGAATAAAATAAATACGTAAATATAGTAACAGTTCGCGGCTAACCATAGTCAACAGCTGACGTACGAAATTTGTGGACTGACCGAAAACCCGAAAAATTAAAATATTTATTTGTAGGAAAAACAAAATTTGTACAGGTGTATATTTACAGTTGTCGCGTTGTTTGCTGTTGTGCATAGAATGTTACGGTGAATTGTTGTTTGGTAAACCGCGGATGAATAACGGTATAAAATACTCATCGGTGGAAGTAGTAAACTAACGTAGGTAGTATTAATAAATATGTAGTACTATATGGAAATTTGTATATATTCGTTTACTTTATTCGAATAAATCTAATACAGCCACTGCTATTTAATATTGGTAAATGTGGCAGCGTTGACGTCAGACCACGGTTGTTGGTTATCACACAGTTGGCGTTCTGCGGTCAGCATAGACACAATAGGTAGTGAGGCTAAAACAAAAACAACATCAAAAGGTACAAAAATTAGCTAAAGTCCAATGTAGTCAATTGGCAGTAGCTGCAGTTTTGTAAAGGAATGGAAAGTTGACACTTCATTTAGAATTATAGTTAATGAGGAGATTTGTAATGACAGAGGTATACACGAATATCAGGATTGTTCGATGCAAAATGGATAGAGCTTTAGCGTCTGGAATAAACAACGAAGGACTAAACTGTCGATGTTCTATAAAATTCACTCACTTTTCTTGAGTAAGATATCTGTCTGTTTTCTAATTCATATTCATACCACTACCAATATTAATCGTGGCTAACTAGGTGTTGTTTTCATATCAGTACCAAAACAAATACCAACATCAATGACAATAATAATATCAAGACCAATTACATTATCAATATCAAATTAATAAAATATCAATACCAATGCCAATACTAACACTAATTCAAATATGAATGCCAATGTCAATAACAATACCAGTACCAACACCAATAACAATACCAATACAAATACTAATTACAATACCAACACCAATACCAATACCAGTACCAATACCAATACCAATACAAATACTAATTACAATATCAACACCAATACTAATTCCAATACCAATACCAATACTATTACCATTGGCAATATCAATAACAATACCAATATCAATACCAATCCCAATATCATTACCAATACCAATATCAATAACAATACCAATACTAATAATTATATCAATCCCTGCTTAACGGAAGCAGCTCTGCGGTTTCCCGATATACCAAATACTTCCTTACAAATTTTTCCTAAATCTATAAATCACACATCCATAGCGAAATACACCTTAAGAACAAGCCATCCAACAGTTTTGCGTGCACTCGCGTCTAATCAGCAATGTCAGAAAATCTAATCGACATCTTAGCCACCGTGCACAGCTGCTGTGGTGCAACGTTTCTGTTGTACGCAAACTTTTCGTCTGACTATGCCAAGGATTTACGAATTTTTGTCACCGCGCAAACACACAAACCCTTTTCATACGACTTGCACGAGCTGCCACTTCAGCAAAGTGTTCAGACGCTGCGTTGAGGCAAATGTCTGCGTGACTATGTGTGTTCAGTCGGTGGCTATGTTGACAAATTTATGTGCAACACGCCAGTCGCAAAGTTAAACTAAATACTACGCGTACGATAACTCGAGCACTCTCGTCTGTCATCGACAGTTGTCGTTGTTGGCAAAACTTTGCGAATGCCTGACTGCCACGCTGTCAGGTTGCATGTTGCTCTTACAGCGTGTGTGTTAGTATGTGTGCAGTGTGTGGCACGTTATGCGTTGACTGGCTTTTCCAACTGCTTAATCAATTACACAAGTTTGCGAATTCGCCGTTACATACCGGTTACAGAAGGAGGCGCAAACTTGGAATGACATACGTTTATTGAAAAAGGTTTGGTAACTCTTTTTGCACAATTTTGGATCTGTATATTTCTTTACGTGGTCACGACAAATTTGCAAACTTAGAACTTGTAGCGAATTTCGAAAGCAGTCGGTAAAAGTGCTACTTCAATTTTATTCTTAAGTTAAGTTACTAATGATAAGATTGAGTTTAGGTTTAATTTTGCGTATTTTAAGTAACGTTAGGCATAATATGTCCACAAATTGTGATCATCTTCACGTTAAGTTTAGTTTAAGTTCAAATTTAAATAAATTAAAGATCACTTAAGTTTCATTTGAAAGTGTGGTTAATAGGTAAAAAAATTAAGGTTAGGTGATAGGTGCATGTAAAGATCAGCCATACTAATATAAGATACAGTTTGACCTGGACTGTTTCATATAAACTGTTCGTGTGAAGTTTGATCGCCATATGTCAATTAGGGTAAGTTTGGCAGCTTCATGCCCAAAACATTCAACAAAATATGTTGAGTCGATCCGTAATAGATGTTGAGATTCGCTGCCAACTCACTGGTGGCAACTTGATGACTTCCAAGCACTGTTTCTAAAATTTTTTCAATAACGTCGTCATTAACCGAGGTGGATAGTTGATTGTCTAGATGACTTCACGATGAAGTAAATTCCCTAAAATACTTCTGTAAACATGTTCCCAATCTCGGTTAAATCTAATATAAAGTACATAAACTTCAGTGTTAATCTAAGTGAGCAAATCTTGACTGTAAAAAAATTTACGTTGAACACAGACACTTTTCAAGTTAACTTTTAAGTAATCACCTAAGTATAATGAAAATAATAAAAACAATAATCCATTTATTTACGCTTATCAACAACACCAGATGTCTTGCAGTCTGTTTATAATTTTCTGTGCAAATTTAGTAAGCTTATTTAGTGTGATAATTATTCATTGCAAAGCGCCTCTCAGTTTCATTTTTGTTGTCAGCGACAACTTTAGCACATTCTTATGACTTAAATAATGACAACTGCTGCTGTTTTTGCCTTCACTCTTCTTTGACTTAAAATATCAATGGCTTTTTAATCAACTTTATCAAAATAATCAGCATTTGTGTAAATAAGAGTCAAAAACCTGTAGAGAAGTTGAAGTATTCAAGTGTGTTTCACTTAAATTTCGAAATTTTTAGTATGAAGCTTACGTCACGTTAATTTTAAAGGGCGTAAGGATGAGGATTAAAATACATTAATAATGAACTAAGTCCAAGTGAAAATAATATAGTTATGTTGAAGTTAA